TACTTATGGGCACGCGTTCACTTCCTTTCCCACGCGTACGGCACAGGCTATTGAATGGCAGAAAATATTTTTATATACACTACTCTAGTGGCAGAGGACCAGTAGTTTTTAGCACTGGTAGGCACTCACTCGCTCTCTCCCCTATTCACTATACCTCTCACCTGTAAAGCCGAGGAATGCATCTGTTTGTTGGGCACAAGTATGCCATTTATACACTACAGTTGCGTCACTCAATGCCAGTACACTATACACTCACACCGTATGTGTGTATACACTATAAGCGGAATCTCTATTACTATTAATAGCTGAGGAGGTATTAAACGAAAGGAATTTTTTCGTATATTATTATTCACCTCAAAGTGTATATACATATCAGTTGTATATATCTTAACATCTGATCCAATCTTATTGTTCAGTGGATATTATCCACGCGTTTCTTTACTGCCTTTCTTACAACCAATTCCTCCTTTCCATGTATTGTAAGAATTTATTTTAATATAATTTGTGTCCATTTTTTGCTCTAAAACCTCATGTAATTTACTTTATGTATAACAATGTAATCCTTTATAACTTAAACGTATATTTATGGTAAATACATAAATCATTAATTATAATATTCACAAACAAAATATTTTTTATATCAAATAAACTGACATCAAAACGACGTCACTTTCCTACAGATGTTTATCGGGTATTATACATAAGAAAATGATTTATACATTTCGGTGGCAAATGTTACACAACTCTATACTTTAAAAACCATTAGAAAAAAATGCTGAATTTAAAGGACGCTATTTATACCGATATATAAATTCAATCATAAAATAATAGTTGTATATAATGTACGAAAAATTACAGGAATAATAATAATGATAAGAAAGAGTAGGAAATAATTGAATAATATTTTGTCAAAATGAGAAACACTTTTGTAGAAAGAAAATATTGAATGAAAAAAATATATTCAATTTTGAGGCCCAAAAACGAGATGTAATTACCGGTGAAGTGAGGACTTTATACACTTTATATACACTTATTTTGCAAACTTATAATATTTTCATCATTTTTGGGCCTCTTTTCTATTAAAGGGTTTGATTGAAAAGCAAAAATTGTTTGCAAATTCATTAAATGTAATGCAAAAAAATCATCTGCGATAACAATAATTGAATTTTCAATGTTTTCTCAATTTGTGTTTAAAAATTTTATATAAGTCTTATAATCTTTGACTTATATTTTTACGCAATACTATTCACTAATTGTTTTCTTTGCTATTAAAATATATGGCGAGAAATATATCTTATAAGAGATTTCACGTCACATGCCTTTAATAATCATAACTTATATTCAAATGGTTGCCTATAATTACGTTTAGTATTAAATAGTTTATCAATTTATTAATGAAATAAATATTAAGTTCTTGTGGTCTATAATCTAGAGTAGCAATCAATGCCTCCGACAAAGTATTAATAAATATTGTCGTGAATTGCAAGCCGTCAGGTGTTTCCCTCCCAAACCAAATCTATGCAATATTTTGCCCAAAAAATTTAAAATCACATAAATTTTGGGCTAAAATTATCTCAACTTATTTGAAACCAAAACAGTCAGTAATTATTCAATTTGTCGTTTTCTTTTGCCCATAATCTTTGCCATCAAATTCGTTAAATACGAGTAAATGTTTAAATATTTTGGGCATTTTTTGTGGGCATCTCATAGTCTTAATTCACTCAAAAAAGTTATCTATATATTTAATCATTGATTTATTAATAAATACTAATTTTAGACAAAATTTAAATTTATTGCATGATTTATTCAAAAATAAAAACGCTTTCAGTATTAACACATATTATGCAGTTTTTAAAATTTTTTAAATTGGACAAAAGTAATGTTTTAAAAAAGTATAATTTATTAACATAAATAAATTATATTAAGGTAATCAAAAGCCTAATTATAAATAAAGACTGTGTAATCCCTTATTAATTTAATAAATTTATTTTTGTAATTCATAATTTTCTAGTAATTTTTTAAACAAACAAAAAATAAAATCAATAAAACTTTCTGATCATATCGAGAAAGAATTTGACCGGAGTTTTGAAGCCGTGGTGCCAAACGGCCGGATCGGTTGCCTCCATAATGGCAGTGATCTTTGCCAGTCCCTCGGGGTACAGGTTTTTATGGCATTTCTCATATGTTTCATAATTTGAGCAAGCATACGTAATCGCCTCCATTGACTATAACGTACGCAAATTTATCAATACATTAATCAAAAAATTATAATATCAACAATAAACTGACCATCTCGTCAAAAATCTCGTCCCAGAACTGAGAGTGACCAACTGTGCAGATCTTTTCCGTGTTGCTAACAATACAGTGGCGATACTCTTGGAAACCGCAGCAAATGAATGGCAAATGTGGCTCATCTTTGTTCATCTGTGACGTGAGCTCAACAAATTTGGTCAACTTATCGCTGCAGACGTGCAACGGATCCATCTTTTCTTTGGGCAAAAAGCACTGTATATTCTCTAAGAACTCTGTCCTCTCCGACGGCTTATTGCACCGGTTGTCCATATGATGGCCAATGTTTGTGTACATCAATTGTACCACTTTTTGCGGGAAACTGTTTTGCTCTAAACAGGTGTCCGCATAGTTTTTAATACATTTTGAACCTTCTCTTATAATGCTAATTCAGCGATAAATTAGATGAATTAGGTGAATATATTGTTTGATGAAATGTGCCCTGTGTGAATTACCTGCAATGCTGATCAAGTTCAGCATCATTGCCGGGCACGATCGCATCCTTACTACCAAAAAACATGGAGTTGTAAAAACATTCATCCAATTGATCCTCGGTCATTGAGCAACCCATCGTATACTCGGCCATTGAGGCCATTATTAGTGCTTAATTTTAATATTTTTATGTCAATTTTAATTTAACGTATATTAGTATATAATTAATCAAATACTTACTTAAATATATAGATTTAAGAAACATTTTATTGAAAATTATGGGAACTCTTAAACAATAGTTATTTTAATTTATAAGAGTTATTGTACAAAAATAGTTGAGATATGGTCTGAGATGTTCACTATTTATACAAAGTTAGGGCTCATCCGCTTCAATGAAGTCAATAGATTTAATTTAATATCAATTAGAAATTACTTTTACATTAACTATTAAAATAATTAGAAAAGCAATTAAATATAACATCCATTGAGGTAACTATTGTATGCAAAATCAGTTATTGTGTTATATGTTTAGTGTGTTTTAGCGGAACGCAATAATGTGATAATTAATATTATGGCAATAAAATAAATTTCTTGATTAATGAGTGTTTAATTTCAAAATTTAATTTTGCATCTTTTTAATTCAAATATAAATCTATTATCAATAGAAAAATAATTTTTGTTTTTATAAATGCAATATTTGTTGTCAATTAATTACAATACACAATGACTAGAATTAACTCGTGATGAGTAATAAATCAAATTTACATCACATAAGCTAGATGCAATTTCAATTATGGTACTTATTTTTTTGTGCACTTTTTCAGTGCAGTAAAAAAATTAAATCCGCATAGAATGTACTAATATAAAGCAATTATTTGCATTTTTGCACATAAAATAGTGAGTTATATAAATATAGTGAGAAATTGTGTCAAAGTATTTGTGGTGTTTGTGTCGATTGAATAATACGATAGGAATTTTTGTAGTAATCATTGAAAATGACACCCAAATAATGGATGTATTGATTCGGTCAGCACTCGTATAGACTGCAGACGGAGAAAACGGTTAGCAAATAGTGATTGAGAGCGTCGTCTGTCTACACGGCCCGCGACCAGAGCTTATGTGTGATCGCGAGTGAGTGAGTGAGAGAGAGAGAGAGAGAGAGAGAGAGAGCACAAAAAATACTTATTTAAGGTGTGGGACAGGTGTGGGTACGAATCGGTGGCATTATTTTGTCTGTTGGGGACATAAAACATACTTTTAAAAAAGGTATTGTTATCTGACGCTCGCATTCCTGAGAAAGTCGGTTATGAAAGTTCGTGTGTTTTTTGCACACACTCTCCACAACCACCAGCTCTCTCTCTCTCTCTCTCTCTCTCTCTCTCTCTCTCAGAGACATAGGGCACGTATATCTATACTGTAATACACGTGCAATTTATGCATCTGTTATGAGACACGCGATTGCGTTTTTTACGCGCGACATTCCGATGCTCAACAGTCATTGACTAACCATATGAGCACCGGTTGTACTCAACGTATGCCTCGCGTTCAATACTGAGAGAGAGAGATAGATAGAGAGAGAGAGAGAGAGAGAGAGAGAGAGA